TTCCTGAGCCGGAGCCAGAATTTGAATCCCCATTCCTGAGTACTCAACACCATACCGAAACAACATGTAAAAGATCTGAATACACCCAATAACCCTCATCCCACAGGCTTCCTAGATTCTCCAAGACTCTCCTCGATTCGAGTATGGATCATGTGCTTTCAGTAGTATGGGCCCAATACTACCTTCCACACCTATCCATACTTTCCTCAAGAATCCTCCTAAATCCTCTAAGTCACCTTCTCAAATTCATACATCAAACACTCGCTAACCAGCGCAATCAGCACCCACTGAAATAATCCCTAGTCCTTCCTAGGTTCCCGACCTCACCCTGCCATCAGCTGCTGAAGAACTCCTCATAATGTCAGTTAGCTACCTTATGAACACAATCACATGCAACAAAGCTTAGATAATCCTTCGAGTAACATACTCATCCTTACAACGGTTAGACTCAAACGAGAGCTGCGTAATAGGGTCAAATCCGTCACTCTGAGAGTATCCAACCTTTGCCACATGTGACTAGACATATCCACTCAATAGCTAAATCACATCACTTATGAGTTCCACAAAGCACAAAGCAAGCAGCATTTGTGTAGTAACACTCCAATCCATAGAATAATCTCAAGCATCTAATCCCACATACTACAACTCATACTAGGAGCTCCCACTCCCGCTACTGATTGCCTTACGCATACAAATCATAGCAAACCAGCATCCCATGCTTCCTAGACTACCAGGTATCACATATCAGGCCAACCTATCACTGGTTAATCAGAACTAGCATGTAAGTCTACAAGCTCATACAATAGGCATGCAAGGCATCTCTCCTTGCATTCTATCATGCAAAACTGAGCAGATCCTTAGCCCTAACTAGCATGGGATTCACAGATTCATAAATCAAATCATAACAGATAACATGTATGGGTAATTTGGGAGAAACTTACTTGAGCTTGGCTGATTGCACGCACTACACCCTTTCTTATCTTAGAAAACTCTTTTCTTAAAAATACTATTCTTTTTGAAAACTTTACTAAATCCTTAGTTTGAGTTCAGACACACCCGATAGTATGTCTGAATCCCTCAAACCAAGGCTCTGATACCAACTTGAAACACCCCCAAAATATTGACATAAAATTTTGTTTTAATTATAGAAGAAGTATAATTAATTACTCGTTTCAAAATCGATACATTACAATCAGAGTATAAATCCCAGAGCAAAAGTCAAATACGGAACATAAAGTGTGTGTGCCATGCATTCAACCCGAACTCTTCCTTTTTGAAACCAAAAGTACCTAAAACATAAACTGAAAACCGTAAGCACAAAGCTTAGTGAGTTGCCCAAGATACCACATATCATACATAACATAACACATAACGGGCCCCGCCCACACTCGCATAACAGGCCCCGCCCGCTGAGATACGGGCCCCGCCCACACTCATATAACCATATAATCATATGACATTCAAACACATGCGAAGATCACAAAGATAGTAGCATAATGCACAATCATCGGGCCCCGCCCACATACAGATCATATATGCATAACCTGATACTAGCATACAGAATAACCATTGGGCTTCGCCCAGTAAGCATACAAACACATACACAAGCAAGAGTCACACAAACATCTAGCACTCTACATAGCAATCCATGTGTCAACATTGGTGCCTTTAACCCGTTAAACTTAGTGAAAAGACTCACCTCACACTTCCGAATCACATAGACGATCCCTGGCTGCTGGCGACAGATCCCTGAACTGTCAACATCAAAACATCACCTAATTAACAATTGGGTTCCAGTCCATAATCCAAAAATCCATACTTGGGTAAAAAGACCATTTTACCCCTATCCTAGCTTGGTCTGAGACGGAGGCCCAAACTCAAAATCTAAAAGGCCCAAAACCAATTAATCACTCAAGGCTCATACTTGGCCCAATTTTCCAAATTGGGCCCAAACCCCTTACATGGGCCTTACCCTAATTCCTAAACATAGCCCAACATAACTCCTGGTCAAACCTGATCAAACTCCTGGTCAAAGTCAAGTCAACAACCCATGTTTACCAAACACATCGTGTTGCCCCTTGGACACGCCGTGCTCTTCCACCATCCAGATAATCGGGAAATCCCTAGCCAACATGCCCTGTTGGCTTGCAAACATGTCGTGTTTGCCCGGGATTCAACAGCTCAACCATTAAGCACTTAATCCATAAAGGCATGACCCTAAAACATAGATTTGACCTCCTTGAGCTGGATTATCACGTAAAGTTGCCAATTTATTTCCCTACATGACTAAATGAAGCTCCTAAGCTAACAAGGGACTTAATAGAGGGCTTAAAGCATGCATGACACCATTCTTCACATAAAGCTTGCACCTTTATGCTCAAGGATACCAAAACAAACTCATATCTGAAAGAACAATCCCTTAAACAACCCAACTCATCCATAGACCCGAAAAGGAGACCAAAATCATAATAACTAGCCATGAAGAGATCTAATCAAACACAAGACAAGATGCAAACTTGATACCTCTAAGAGACTGCAAGAAGTGGAGAGATTCTGGATCTATGATCTTCCTTCCAAGCTAAGCACCTTCAATCTTCACAGTTTCCTTTAGAAATGAGCAAGAAAACCACAAGAATCCACTCAAGGCTCAATAACACCACCAAGAAAGCTTAAGGAATGAATTAGGGTTTGAGTGGCAATGAAGGCTGGTAAGGAGGCCATCCATGAGGACTTAAGGCCTTTTAAATAGGGTGCAACCCCCTAATAGGGTTTCCTTCCCAACCACCAACACGCCGTGTTAGGATACCACAACACTCCGTGTTGGTCCATTAATCTCCGTGTTTCTTCAAATATAGACACACCATGTTGGTTCCTCCAACATGCCGTGTCCAACCCTAAAAGGGGCTTACTCCAAACAATTATTCTCAAGATTCTGGGTGTTACATTATAATTCACGAGTATAAATTGATTAAATTCATTTCACAAGCATCCTTCGCAAGAACACAATTAGGGTAGTTGGTAAAAAATAGGTATGCAAACCATGAATTACTTGTGTGTATATTTGTCCAAAAAGCATTAATATCACTAATTCATGATGGAAATTCAAAGGTTTAGTGGTCATTTGCATTTTTTTTCTTTCTAAAAAAGGTGGGTCATTGGATGGTAATGTTTAGTGAATAATGTTTTCCGCTTCTTGAAATAATTTGTGGATTATAAGGTTTTTGGTATAAAATCAAAGGTTTAAACTCATCCTTATAAACAATTTTTTCTTTAATTCGAGCTTGTTTAAAAGCTAAAAGTCAGTTACTAATGTGAATAATGTTTTCCTTACATGGTCATTTTAGTGAATAATGTTTTCCTTAAATGCTCCTTGAAATAATTTGTGGATTATAAGGTTTTTGGTATAAAATAAAAGGTTTAAACTCGTTTTTCCAGACAAAATTTTCTCTTTAATTCGAGTTTGTTTAAAAGTTAAAAGCCAGTTACTAAACATGTCAGTTACTAATGTGGATAATATTTTCCTTACAAGGTCATTTTAGTGAATAATGTTTTCCTTAAACGCTCCTTCAAATAATTTGTGGATTATAAGGTTTTTGGTATAAAATAAAAGGTTTAAACTCTCTTCCAGACAAAAAAAATTCTTTAATCCGAGCTTGTTTAAAAGCTAAAAGCCAGTTACTAAACATGCCCTAAAAGAAAAGTTCGTACCTATAATAACAAAATTAGTATGTTACCCAAATAAACCACTTATCTATTATTCAAATATCATTTTATCTAATTTTATATATTTAAAAATTTAAAACTACTTTTGTCAAATATTTTTATACAAATAAAAGTAACAACTTCCAAATTGTTTTTGCTAAACATATTAGCATGTTGAAGTTGGATGCTTGCACATTACGTCTTAGATGACTTTAAGTAGTTTTTTTTTTTTTTTTTTTTTTTTTTTTTTTTTTTTTTTTTTTTCGTATTTGTATTTGTAAATTACATGTCAACCTGAGGTTTCAATGTCTTTTATTATTTTTACTAAAAACTAAAAATAAGTATTGATTAGTGAAAGCATGTTTTGACGACTACACATGATAAATGTTGATTTTATGTAATTTGAATGTCATGCGTAATCATCCACTTGTTTTACATGATTTAGATATTAGACTTTTCGTTTTTTTAGTGTTTCCCATGATCAACTTTATGAGTTTATCATGAATTAGTAGAGGAAAAGAGAAGGTGATCATCTAGCTCATTGTTAATAACATCGGAACAAGATTGTTTTTGGTGATCATCATTTGGAAGATAGCTTTACTAAGGACTTTTATGTACAAGCATCTAGTGTTTAAATTTTGTAGTATATATTAAGAAGTTTTGAGCATCCATTAAAGACAATAAATGTAACATTTTACATAAATTTGATGATGGTTTATGAACATAATCATGAGAGACATAACTCGACTATTAGCAACTTCAAGCAAGATATAGAACAAAAATGACAATTAATTTGTTTTGAGTGAGAACTTGATCATGTTCGATATGAACATGGTCGAAATCTTCAATCTTGATCTCACTTTCAGTGTCAAGGGCATAATAGTAATTTACAAAGTCGATTATTGGAGATACGTTAAGGGCACAACAGTAATTTACAAAATCAATTATTGGAGATTTGGAGCTACAAAATATCAATAACGAATATAATTATTAAACGCTTGAATGGAACCTTAACAAATCAACAAGTTCTTTCCAAAAACCGAATCTTATCAAAGTATCAAATTTATTGAATTTTAATCATTTTTTATTTGATATACAAGTTTGGGGAGCAACCGTTTTCAAAATTTTAGTGGTCCAAATAAAGCTTGTAGCCATTTTCACATATTCCATAGACAAAGAGTATTTTTTTTGGACCAAAAGTAAGTCATAATTGATACAACAAGTACACTTCAAGCATCTACATCTCACTAATGATTTGGATACATATAAACATTACAACAAAAGTTAAACCATCTCCTCCTACCAATCAAATACTACTTTTTAAATAATCTTAAATTGTTGATCAAAATTCTATTACACATATATTTATTTACACATGACAAGAATGCCCTCCTAAATTTCTTCATTGAAAATAACCCTAAAATACTTGACCGCGTCTCCTTTAACAAAAACAACCTTAATGTCCAAAATGTATGATTTATAGTTTTTAACTTATAAATAATTAGAAAAACATTCAAATGGTCTATAAAAAGTTAGATGGACCTACTAACCTACCATTATATTGACAATGTATTTCTTTAAATTTATTACTTAATTCACCAACATAAGTAGGTGACTAAATATACTAACTACCCACCTCCCTTCTCTACTCCTACATTATCTACAAGCAACCTACAATCCACAATAATGTATTAAATTTGTAAAATAAATGTAAATCGATATTTAAATTATATATAACATTTGGCTTTGGGTTTAAGGGAATTGCAATAAGAAAGAGTGAAAGATTGACATGGTGACAACACGAATGCAATTTTATTCCTTTATTTCTTCTATCAAAGAAACTTATGACTACAAAAAGAGAACTGATTTGCCAACAAATGTTTTATGTTCATATTCCTAATGAATTTAAGTGAAATAAACACGTGTCATCACCTGGTTTGTAACCTTTGATCCTTGCTCCACTTGTATAAGAACTTGCATTCCTTGTGTAAATCCGATAGGACTGAATCTCAATGAATCATGGAAGCAAGGTCATTTTGTCACTTGCTTATATGGTGTGTTTATGTATATATCGTGTTTTCTTCAAGTTCAATCCATTGTGAAAATGTTGCATAGACAGAAGCTGACATTCGAGACTAGTTTGCAGAATCTACACTATACAAAGAAAACCGGAAAAGGAAGCACACAAGATTTTTTTTTTTGTTTTTTTTTTTGACTTCCTGAAGAACAAGTGTAGATGCAAGAAATGGAAATACCCATAACTTGATTGAGAAATTGTGCCACTTCCAATCATCTTTAAGCTTCAAATTTCATAAAAGTGTCATCAAATGTTCTTGATGCTTGCTTTTCTGGATTCCCAGCTTTCTTGATAGAGTCTGCATAGCATATCAAGAACAAAAAAAGATTAATTTTTTCATCACCATTGCTGATCCCCAAAATTCTTATGAACACCAATTACATTGATATCAGAATGAAACAGTTAGTCTATTGAGCTGACTAGCAGAAACCCAATAACAGAAGGTGAGATTAAGAAGAAATTGACACAATAAAAAGTTAAAGATGATTGGATTGGATTGGAATATTAAATTACCTTGGATACAGTTTGAACGATGAGCTCGTTTGAAGAAGCCAAACATTCCCTTGGTGTTTCAAACGAAGATAGAGAAAATTGCTTAGAAACAACACCGACATCGAAGTAAATCAATCCGGAACTGGGTATATCGACCCGGATTTCCTTAACAGGAAACCACAAAAACAAATCCTGGGCGGAAATACCCGACAATCCATCGATCTGACCATACGTCAAGGTACCGGAAACATTCTGATCGTAGTGCAATTCGTCCTCAAACTTAGCATTACAAGCTTGATCCAAATGCACTTCGAATCGACCGGAATCATCAATGGTGAAATTGGTGACACCTTTGGGTAACAAACCCATGGGCAATCCGTTTGATTTAAGAACTTCGTATATGGTTTTAGTTTCTTCGGAGGTTGAAATGCAGAAAACGGTGGCAATTGTGAGCAGAAAAACAATTGGGGATAGAAGTGGTTGAAGATTAAACATGTTTTGTGATTGGATTTTTAGGGCATATGAAGTTTGATGATGATGATGATGATATAATATAACACCTGGAATTGCAAGGTGTTTGGATGTTTTTGTGTAGGGTTTAAGGGAATCGGAGATATAGAGATAGAAATAGATGGAGAAGAGAGTGTTGTTGCCAGCAAGAATACAGAGGGGATTAGGAGAATGATGAATTATTGATGCTTGTATTCTAGAGCTTTGTTTTGGGTCATCCATAACCAATCGGGTAGATCCATGTGGACGTTTGTACCCACACTTAATATATATTTATATTTATATGTATATATAACTACGAAATCTCAATAACATCATTTTTAGCAATAACTACTGTTGCCCATTTATGATTTTGATTTATCTATTGAAAAAAGTGTTTTAATTTTTATATTTTATTTTAATTGAAAAAAAATCATGTTAAAAGATATCCTATTTTTTAGGTAAACAAATTAAAAACAAAAAAATAAAATAATGGCTAACGATTCAACGGTATCAGATATATTTGAAATGGATAAATCCTGCAAATTGTCGAGGATTCAAATCTCGTGATAGATAAAAGATATATATTTGTGAGTTTCAATAAGTGGGGGTGTGATTTAGCCATTTAAAAAATATTAAAAACGTTTATTTTAATATTATAATAATTTTTCATATTAGTCGATACTATGAAATTAGTCTTTGTATTTTTGCTAAATGTTTAATTTTATTTATCAAAATCTTTTTATGAAGATTTTTGTTGTTGTAATGATATTCATAAATCATTTCAGAACAAACAAGAATTCTTTTTGGGTGAACAATGGTGTTATTTTGAGACATTGAGAAATCCTTAGGGAGATATTTTCCAAAAAAGAATTATATAAAAATAAGAAAAAGTTTTAAAAAATAAATAAAAAGAACCAAATTTGTAGTGACTATGCCAACACTTTATTTTATTTTTTTTAATAAAACTTAGTTATCATTTGGAGTGGTATATGTAAAATTTATGACTATTTTAAGACTTTAAAATATTCTTTAGTTATTTTATGGCAAATTATAAGCATAAGCGATTAGATTTTGTCTTCTTTTCTAAATATAATAGTTCATATTTTACGCTTAAAAGGTGACATTTTTAATACGCATTAGATCACAATATAAATAAAAAAAATATTTTACATATTTTTTTATTCTATTGTATATTGTAGACAAAATATATATTTTGAGTATTCACTATTATCTATTTTCTCTAAAAACAAATAAAAGGGTTGACCAAGAGGTCAAAGTATCATTAGCTTAAGTAATACTCCATTAAACAAAAAAGGATGCAATTAGCTTTTCGTTTACACTTCGGACTCTTTCACTCAACATCATGTTGAGAGAAATTGTTAGACATCATTAAAAGACCAAACATTAGTGGTCACATGTTAGAAACTAGGAAATTATAGTGTCAAAAATAGGTATTATTTTGTTTCAATCATCATAATTTAATACAATGATTGTTTATGTGCTTAATAATATTCTCTTTCTCTCATGTCATATAAAATTACTTGTTGATCTAAAAGACAACTAACATAATGGAATAGATTGCATTTTCCATTTGTCATTATTAAATAACTATTCAATTTACAATAAAAACTATAACTTTTTATTTAATAATAATAAAAGTATGGTTTTAGATATCAGAAATATGACGATATGAAAGCGTTGGATTTTCGTTAAAAAATAATTGTTTTATTTTTTAATATATATATATATATATATATATATATATATATATATATAACAATTACTTTTAATGTTGTAGTAACATACACCATATTATTATACAAAGATACGCTAAATAATCTAATTTAGAGAAATGATCATCTCAACTTTTACACTTAGGTATTTACTAAAATTCAGTTTTCCATCAATAATCATCGTATATTGTTAGTTACTTTTTTTAATCAACATATTTTATTTATTCTTATTACAATCTCTTTTAATATTAATTATTATTCAAAATATTCATATTTATCCAATGTTCTAAATTTATAGCAGGAGCAATTGTGGGGTATGTATCCGGTTTTCATGGCAATCCATGTGGATTTGATCGTATGTTTTTTCACGCGCCAGGGAAGCAGCGTGTGTTTTAGGAAAGTGATCAAAACAACTATTGACTTGACACATGGCCCAATCATCTTGTTTTATGCCTTTTTAAAATATATAATTAAATAATTGTGTGGGAATAAGTCAAAAACTGGGGGAAAAATCATGTGCATCCGAGAGGGTAGGGCTGGCATTATGATAATTATTAAATAATTTTGTCTTTGCATGCTGGACCACACGTCACTCCATGATGCCAGTTTTGTTATGGTGATGTGGAGCCTCTTGTACAGCTCTCTTGCCACGTCGTACTTGTACTCTTACATGATATGTACGGGTAAGAGATTTGGATCAGTACACTAAACGAATAATGCTACCAGGAGTGGAGGGCAAAAAGACGCGTGGGAGCTGACGTGTCAGCCCTCTTCACGTGTGAACAGCGCCCCATCTTCTGGTGGGTTTCTTGTTCCGTGGAGCTGGAGACGGACGAAGACGGGTGATTTGATTGGGGGTTGCTTTTTTGACCGTTGCTGCGCTCTTGACCGTTTGTAAACAAAAAAAAAATTTAATTAATTAATTAATTACTAACAATCATTTCTCTATATATATCAACATATTTTTACATTTCAAACACACAACAAACTTTGAACACAAACACATATATTCTCATTCAAAAAATACACTTTCCTCCATGGATCCAAACCAAAATAACTCATCCACCCCGAACACCCCAAACACTCCAAATGATCCGTTAGCGAACATTGGCTATATGCAATTGTTATCATCCCCCGTTCAACAACAACCTCTATTCACCAATCTTTCATACCACTCACACTACTACCAACAACAACCACCACCACAATTTGTTCAATCTCAATTTCAACCCTTTCAACAACAACCTGCTCCACGATTTCAGCCCCAAACTTCCCAACATCCACAACCATCTCAAGTTCCATTATCGCAATCTCAACCCGTAAACCTCGACATTGAAGACGACGACGAACGGGTTCAAGAAACACAACCAAGTCGTAGAAGGCAAAAAAAAAATCAAAAGATTCAACAAAAAAGAAAAATACCCAATGGACCGAGGAGGAGGAGGCAGCTTTAGCTAAAGCTTGGATTGCCATATCACAAGACGGGGATGTCGGCAACGCGCAATCAGGACAAAGCTTTTGGAATCGTGTTGTAGACCACTTCCATGCGTTATTAAGAAGGCAAACGAGCCGGACATATGATTCAGTCAATACTAAATGGTGTGATCTTAGAGCGACTTGTACCAAATTTAATGGCGTATTTGACAATTTAAAAAATATGCATCGAAGTGGTAGCAACGATTTCAACATTTTGTCAACGGCGTTGCACCAATACAAAATTACCAACAATGGTAAACCTTTTGGCAACCAAAAAGCGTGGGAAGTTTGTCGCAATGGCCCAAAATGGGTCCTTTATCCGGAAACGACACATTCGGGATCTACCACCGGTTCCAACAAAAGGCCGAGAACGTCCGAGTCGGACATCGGTGCTAACCTCGACCTCAATGATGAGTTCGACGCCACCGAGGGGGAGGGTCCATCGGACGTCCATCTTCGTCGACCACCGGGAAGGGATAAAGCGAGAAAGGGGGCTTCGTCTAGCGGGAAATCAACCAACGAGGACGTATTATCGGAGAAAATCGAAAAAACTCAAAATTTTTTAGAAAAAAAATTTGATTCAACGGAGGAGCAACGCCGGCAACAATTGACACTCACCAATCTTCAAATCGTAAACACAGTGCCGCAACCAAATCTCGACCCAGAAAATTTAAGGGTGTTTTTGAAAATTCAACAAGAAGTTCTCGACCAATATCGCAACTAGATTTGATGTTTTTTAGTAATTTAGGTTTAATTTTCTAAGTATGGATTATGTTTTTTTAGTATTTTAGTTTTAATTTTCTATGTTTTAAATTATGTTTTAAATTATGTAATGTGGTTTTAATTAATATAAAATATGTTATTTATTTAATATGTTATTTATTTAATATAATGTTAAAAAAATAAAAAAGTAAATGTTGTTAGTGGTGACTATTTCCATAGTGGAGTGGGTTGGTGGTGAAGGTGACATGACACAGAGGTGGCACCACTTTTCCGGTGAGTTGGTGGTGACCACTCCACATAGCCTAAGAGTATCTAAAGATAGTTTTTGAGCTTAAACTATTGTGGAGTTTTTTTTAAGTCTACACATAAGACCTATAAACATTTTAGGGTTTATCTTTTTAGTTATTTAATTTTTTAAGTGATTTTATGAGGGAGCGAACTTTATTTTGTCGGGTCGATTACGTCATTATTTCATTTATGAAGGGGTCAGCCGGTCATATTTATGCCACTTGTGTTACTTAAACCCCTTAGTCTGCTGACTGTGTATACTGTCGATTGTCATGTCATTTAATAATGCCACATATTAATTTGTTCACTCACTGTTCATTATATAGCTTTACTTAAACGGGATTTTTCCTGTCGATTGTTCACCACTTCCATATCTTTCGATAAACCCTTACTTGCTTTCGTCTCCTCAAACCTCAAACATGGATCCTGTATTCATCCAAGTCGATGTGCACTTTCAAGGAATCTTCACAAAAAACCCCATACACTACACCGGGGGATTACTCAGAGGTTGTCGGGCATCGATTTCGTAGGCATGGACAAGAGCGGGTGTTATGAGTTTATTGAAAGGTTCACTGGAGAAAAGTGTAAGAAGCTCTATTACTGCCAACCAGATATTGATTTTCCCAAAGGTTCAACCTTAATTTCCAATGAGATGGATTATGTCGATTTTATAGCAATAGCTTATGAATGTGGTGTTATACTCCCTATGTATGTTGACCATTTTGGTAATAGTAACATGCAGGAATGGTTGGATGAACACAAAGAAGAGGTTGTTGATAACATAGTGGAAGAAGTGATTGATGGTGCATGACTAATTAAGGAAATTGAGACATGCCATTTGGATGAGGATGAGGATGAAGATGAAGACGAGGATGCAGATGAGGGTGACCATGGGGCTGAGGATGTGGATGATGATGGAGATGAGGATAACCATATCATCCCTCATTTTTTCAAA